TGATTTCAATGTTTTTAATTTGATGTTTTAATTTCTTTGTTATTTTTTTTATTTCTTTGCTTTTGATGCTTTTAATTTGATGTTTGAAACTTAATTTGTTTTAATGTTTTTAATTTGATGTTATTTTTGTTGTCCCGCACATTTTCTATTAGAGTCATATATGAAATTATTGCTTATTGTCTATTTCAAATATAGAACTTGAAAAGAAAAAAAATCATTTTGATTGCTTCCAATAACAAGTGATTTTGGAATGATGAGTATGATAGTGAAAAATAAATTGACGATGAGAACTAGGAATTAACTAAATTGGAGAAGTTAGCTGAAACCCAAGAGAGAAATGAACCAAAAATACAGTTAAATTAAGTGTCAACACTATGATGATAACTAGTAGTGGTTGATTTTTTGATGTGGCAAAATTTGATGTAATTATGCTTTGAATTGTTAACTAACCACTTAAATTATGTTGATTCTAATATATTCTTCTCCCAATGTAGGATGAATTTGTAGAATACCTAGGTACAAGAGCAAGGATCATAATTCTCAAGTTAATTAAAGAAAAATTGGAAAAAGGGATGAAGATTTTCAGCCTAAGATTCGCTCGAGCGAGATAGACGCTCGCTTGAGCGAAAATATGTTAAAGCTTTCAAGAATTCAATCACTCAAGTGAACAATTCTCGCTTGAGTGAAAATCATCATTACTCGCTTAAGCGAAAGTTCCGCTTGAGCGAAAGACACGAAATTTTTCTATAAAAAGACAAGATGTGTTTTGAGATAGGGGGAGTTGGGGGTTTTGAGAAGAAAGGAGTAGCAGTTATTCGAGTTTTCGTCCAATCTTCAATTCATCTTCAATTATTCTTCATTTGAATAATTGTAATGGTCATCATGAGTGGCTAACTTCATTCTCTTAGGATTGGGTGCACTTCCTTTAAACTTTTTCGTATCTTGGTGATATTTTGAGATATTAATCTATTTCTTGATGTTGATATTCTTATCCTTTGTATTTTTTAATGATTTTATCCTTGATGTTCATATATATTGGAAAATATATCTTGAAACCCTAGATCAGGTTAAGAATATTTGTTATGTTAATTGCTAGGAATGGTAATTGATGTATCAACTGCATAACACCCTAAACCTAATGCATAAAAATCTATTAAATGTATGAGGAATCTATGTTTACAAGATTTTCTTATGAATTTCATGTGTGAGAAATCAATGTGAATGATTTAAGTAGGTGGCATCAACATTGATAGGTTAATTGATGTTATGAATTTGACCTAGCCATTATACAAAGGAAGGAAGAGGAAGTCAGTCAATCCTAAATTCTCACATTCCATCTTTTCTAAATGTATTTTATAGCTTTTTACTGTTTGTTTTCAATCTAAAAGTTTATAAAAAATCAATTTTGTGTCAATACACTAAGCATATGATTCAGAATTTTCAGCGAAACCGTTCCTCATGGGATCGACTTTTATTTAATTGAAATATTGTATTATGATTGATAATATTGGTACACTTGCCAAATAACCAACATCAAAACGGGCCAACCCGCCCCATTTTGTCTGCCTCGCCTTTGTCCCGCCAAAGCGGGACGGACAGTCGACTTGTCATATTTCTTATTTTATTTTATTTTATTATTTTTAAATCAAATCTTTCAATAAATTTAATAATAAAATTATCATTATCAATTATTCAATATATATATATATATATATATTTCAAGTTAATAATATAAATTGATATATTATTTTAATAAATTATATTTTAGAACAATTAAATTAAGATAAAATTTATATAATAATAAATACATGTATGTAACAAGTAAAAATTTATTAAATCTTCATTTTTTATATTGAAAAGTTTAAACATTTAAATAAAAATTACATTATATTTATTTATTTGATAAAACTTTATTGACGACATCATCAAGATCACAAGTAGGTTTATTAATTAAACCATCCATTTCTTGTTTAAAATTGAAAAAAATAAACTTCATAAATTTTTCTTACTCGGAGATTTCAATAAAGCACTATTAGAAAAACATAATAAATGAGTCATGAGAGAGAAAAATACTAAGAGAAAAAATGAAACCTTAAGAAAGTAACAAATATAAAAGAGAGTAAAAAAGTACGAGATATAAATGATTTTTACCTTATGAAGAAGGATGAACAAGAAGGAGATGATGTGTAAGAGGAGAAGAGAGAGAGAGAGGGGTTTGTGCTTGGGAAAGGAAAGTGTTTCCTGTAATATGTTTAAGTAATTATAAAACTTTTTAAATTGTCTTAGTAGTGAGATACTAAGACTTTATGAATTCTTTTTATGAAACACTGAGACTTTTAGAATTTTTTTTTCATAAATCTTTATATTACATATTGTCTTTCTGACTCTTTGTATTGTATCACAATAAAAAAATTATTAGTAAAATGGGTTGTGGGTTGGTTCATTCCGCCCCACGGGTTGGCCCGACGACTTGGCGGGGTGGGCCAAAACAGCCTGATGGGCTGAAAGTACTAATCCGTTCCGCCATATTATGACGGGCTGGAGGGTCGGCCTGCCAGACCTGACCCGTTTTGTCATTCCTACAAAAAGCTCATCCTTTTCCATGACAACGTAATTATGCCATGATGATTCTTAACTCCATGTTAGAAGTTCTTCCTTTCAACACCTTATATAATCCAGATTGTATCAGTACATCTTTGACTTGAGTTTGTCACAAGCCAAAATTGATCATTTCATCAAATTTATCTATGTCACATTTGACTGTATTTGCAAATGACATTACAACTTCAACAACCAAGGATGATTCTGTAACAAGGAATTAATCTTTTCTATTATGGAAGATCAGACTAAGCTACAACCACATAGCATACTAAGAATATGCTACTCTGAACCATACACGCTGATGAGAAAAAACATTATGAAGAACACATCCTCTTTATTCCCGATAATTACCCTACTAATACAGAAATAAGAGAAAACAATCAACACAAGAATATAACGTAAAAACTCTAAAATCAGAGAAAAATTACGACTATTATCTAATGATAACTAAATGATAACATTATGTGAAAATTTTTACAACACATAGACTATTTCCGTATGCCCTTTGACCTCAAATACATCTACACTCTCCAAAGCAAGAATTTAAACTAAACCCCACAATATTCTATTACAAAAGTATAAGAAAAAGTCAAATACAAATTGTTGAAAGTCCCACATCGCCTACCTCATATCATTTGGTATGGTTTAAATACATGTTAGGCTACTCCACATATTGCCAATTGGTTTTATGTTGGAACCTTAACATGGTATTAGAGCCAAAGCCTAACATCTTTCCGATTATTGTCATGGGCTAAAAGTTGCCCTTTAGTTGGGTCAAAAGTACCCTTTGCCTGGTCCGGCAGGCTTCGTTGGAGGGGGTGTGTTGAAAGTCCCACATCGCCTACCTCATATCATTTAGTATGGTTTAAATACATGTTAGGCTACTCCACATATTGCCAATTGGTTTTATGTTGGAACCTTAACACAAATTTAAAGTGTTTTTGATTGGGGTATCAAAATATCATAGACTTTAAGTCCATTATATAACTATTATCACTCATTTTATTACTTATCTGATGTGAGACTTTTCAATATGTATTATTTTTATTAATTTAATACTTATAATATTGAAAATGTCAAATAGTAATAAGAGGAGTTCTTATCTTTTAGTGTTAGGAACATCTAGTCTTAATATCCAATTATATGTAGGATAAACAAAGATACTTCTGTGGAAAAAAAAAAGTTTCTTCTAATGTACGTTATATATTTAGTATAAATATTCTACACCACGCAAAAATAATTATTTATTCTAATTTTTTGTTTTTGTCTAAATATTCTAGGTTTAGTTATCTCTTCGAACTTCTATCTTTACACTTATATCTTCCCTAACAATAAGAATAATAACAAAATAAATGATACGACACAAAATGTATTTTTTGCATGCTAAGCTGAATTGCCTTGTAAACGTTGAAAGAAACTCGGTGGAAGAATGTTTATTATAACATGCGTTAGATTTAACGTTAAAAGAACAAGAGAAAGCTTTCCTCCTCTATCTTCAATCACTTTTTCTTTCTTATTTTCACTCTCTTTTTCCTTTCATTTGTTGTTGGTTTCTTTATCTCTTTCTTAAAGTCATCCACACACGACTTCTATGTGGAAAAAAGATAGACCCTTCTATTTATGTAAGAACACGAGATACGCAACTGAGAATAGAACGATCGAGAAGTGTTGTCTTCTATATATTTTATACCATATGACTTATCATACATACACCAAACATTTAGCTTTTTCATGATTTAACTTAAAGAAAAAGCAAAGAGAAGTTTTAGGTAGTCCATTTGATTTGATATTGGCCTAAGACTTTCACCATGTAGTTTAAAGAAAGCTTAACTTTGATTGATTTTCAAGAACATTAATTCTCGCGCATGCATGGTCGACCTCACATGTCTAATTGTGGGACCCTACCCTAATTGTGTTCTTATTAAATCAATTAAAATCTTAACGTTTTTACTTGGCTTTAACATGATTAACCAAAAAGTATAGTCACCAAATATTGACGTATATTTAAATGAGTAATCATAGATAGTAAAATTTAAAGGTTTATGTGACATCTTACAAATTTGCTTATTTTTCCTAAATATATGAAAATGTAATGTGGCAACTTACACTTCAAAATGGTGCAAATGTACATTAATATTTTAAATCCATTTTTTTTTTATAGAGAAAACAGGAGGAGTCAGATGAGTACACTCTTGCCATACCTATAACTAAGAGGAGGCAATAATGGGGAACATAAAGTCTGTTGGATCACATGCATTTCACAATCTTTTTCTTCTTCTTCTCCTTCTCTTCTTTTGATAATGTGGGTGAAGCATGTTTAAAGAGGGAAAAAAAAAAGACAATAAAGATGATTACTAAGCAACAAAACTGAAAAGGAAGAATAAGAAGAAAGGGTATACATGCATCCACATATATATTCCACTACACTGTTTCAGCACTTAAGTGATGGATCTGCTGCAATGGAAAAGCTAGGTCATGCTCCTAAATCGAAGGGATATTCCTGTGAGGTGATGAAGCACGTAGGTAACTTCCTTCAGCTTCTGGGTCCCTCTTCATCTTTTCCTGCGTCTAGTTCAAAGACCCACCTTTCTCTCTCTCTCTCTCTTTCCTTCATAACTTTGTAAATCATATCCTTAAAGTGCATTTTTTTCTGATATATATATATATATATATATATATATATATATATATATATATATATATATATATATATATATATATATCATGCATGCCATCCAGTAACGCATGCATGGCTACATCTGCATGCATCATGTTTATCTATATTCTATATTACATTTCTCTAATACCCTAACTGACATTATCGTATCTTGTCTCATTTCTCGGTAAAGAAACAAAAATATCTTAATCGCAGTTCGATTGCTCTATTATTTTGTCTTGATCGGGAATCATTAAATTTTGCGTTGATTGCTGGGAATTATAAAATACGAGTTCTTTAAAGTCGTGGTTCTTTTAAGCGATGATATAATTTTAGTTCTTCCCTTACCAAGTATTGTTATATGGTTTATACTTTTTCTTTTCTTTTCTTTCGTTATCATATAAATAAATTCTGCTCAAATATATTTTCCATGTATATAATTTTTTTATGTTGTAGGATTTCTTTAAACCCACCTCATCATATGGTTGTAAATTATTTAACGAAATTTTATGCAATCAAATAAAAAATTTCACAACATGGATCATTTTCATAATGCGTGAGTCTATAAAATAATCATTTCCACCACTATATATAATATTCATATATAATAAAAAGTGATATCTAACTACAAAATTTTTTATTTTATTTTTATCTATATAACTTAAACTTATTGCAATGGTTTATACTAATTTTTATGAGAGAAAAAATGGTTGATTTAATAAAAAGAGATGGGGAAATAAAATGTTGTAGAAAAGTGTTGTAAAACGTAGTTTATTAATATTTTATAAAATAAATTGGGAAAAAATAATATGAATCTCTGGAAATAGAAAAGTATTTCAAAGAAAAAAAATATACTGAGTGAGTTTGTGCAAAAACATTTTCTAAAGCTTGTCATTTTCCATAATATATATATATATATATATATAATAAAAATATCATTGCCACCTAATTTTCCACTGGCTAAGTCAATCATGTCTGATATAAAGTTCTCTTTGCCAACATAGATGGGTCTCTACCAGCAGATTAATTCACGGTTTGCCTCAATTCCTCAAATACTATTCAACATTTTTTTTCTAATTGTAGTTAGCAAATTCCTCGAGTAAATATGTTATTGGAGATTTTACATCAACCAGTTATTAAATTGAAATTTTATAAATTTGAGATAAATTTATTTTACAAACTGAATTTTAAAATTGAATTAGATTCAAATTCTCTTTACTTAAACAAAAATAGCATGCCTCTTGCAGAAGGTGGAACCACACCAGCACCTTATTAATTATTATGACTTGTTTGGAGTTGGCTTTATTTTATTTGCAGAACAAAAGAAGAAGCTGTTTTCGTGTCCCACTCTAAAAGCGTAGGTACACCCAAATATATTTGCAGAGATATATGTGTAAAGTAAAAGCATAAAATGGCTGCACAATTAGAAGGATATCTGAGAAAGCTAGGTCTGGTTTTTGACAGAATTTTGGTTTCAGTGTTTCAGCTCGGATTTAAAAAAAAAATACATAAAACAAAGAACTTTGAAATTATCAGAACTATTTGTGGATAAAACTGATGTATAATAGAAATTGCATGTGGTACTCGGTATATAACATGTTATACTTACGGAAATTATGCAGAAATATAGATATTTGACTATTTCAAATTTTGAAACCTAACTTATACGTTTACTTTTTATCTTTTGAAAAAATTATTGATCTTTTACCTTTTTCATCGAGTCAATTTGGTCAATCTAAAATGTTAATATCTTTGTTACAAATTCATGATTTGAAATAATTTGTCTTCTTAAATAACCTATATATATTAAAATTATTAAATCTAACATATGTTTGGATAAAAAAGAGTTACAAATTTAATACTCAATTTTACAATTTATAGATTTTGTTTGAACATTAATTGAATTCTATAGTTTTTTATGTAAATGAGTCAAAGAATAGTTGTTTCAAACTTAAAGATTGTAAACTGTAACTAAAATACACTGTAATTAGAATGAAAATTCATTATAGTTATCAAGCATATGAGTATTTTAGACTATAAGTTGTATTAGTTTGTGCCCAATATATCGTGCATGCAAAAGAACAAATTTTCCATTTACATTGAGTGAAGGTTTGCATGAGAGCACAATATCGTTGAAAAGCAGAAGCTGTGGGCATAAGTTGGTACATGGTTCAGCTTAAAGAGGGAATAACTTTGACTGCAAAAGAAGATATACATAATGCATTGGAGTCCCAAAAAAAATTGAGTGAGCTGTTGATGCATGATATCAGTGCAAAAGGAAAGAAAAGTGATACAAAGTGGAGGGAAGCAGGCCTAGAGAAAGCTGACCACATACCCCCACAGAGAGAAAGAAGAGAAAAAGAAAGTATTAATGTAAACAACTTTATGGGGAATAAGGATGAGATTGCATGATTGAACCTAAGTAAACACTCCTCATTCTCCAATTCCATTTCAATTTTACACATGTACACACGTATATATTCAGAATGATATATAAATAAACCCTCTTACATATATTTAAAAAAAAAGTGCAAAGCTATATATATATATATATATATATATATATATATATATATATATATATATATATATATATATATATATATATATATATTCCTAGAAATAACTAATGATATTGACTAATCCTCGTTAAAAATGTAAGAAACAAAATGAAACAAAATTTAAGAATAATTTATTATTTTTCTAGCGAAGATATAATTTATAAATTTAGGAACATAATTCTACTACAAGAAATAATAAATTTATCGACGAAAAGTTATAGGAGTCAAATGAGAGTCATTCTCTAACTAAATTCTTCAAATCCATAATATTATTTATCGACGAAAAGTTATAGGAGTCAAATGAGAGTCATTCTCTAACTAAATTCTTCAAATCCATAATAATAGTTTCTAATGCAAAATGATAACTAACTCAATTAGTATTAGATTCTAACTTAAAACCAATTGATATTAAGTGAAGTGATTTAACAAATATTAAGTTATATAATAATAATTAAGATAGATTATATGAGTCTCAATTAAGAGACTTATTATAATAAACAAGATTAAGGATATTTTGATATAATGTCATATTCAACTTAAATTAATTAAGATTAGATGAATTGACTCAACAAATATATAAATATGAGAACTAAAATTGACAATGCGTGTTTTTTTTTAATCAGTTCCAAATTAGTGACCGATTCGGTGATCGAATCAGAGACTGATTTTTGTGACTAAAATTTTAGTCACTAAATATAAAAAGAGAAATTAACCAGCTGATTCAATTACTATCGTTGATCTGAATTTTTCGATCACTATTAATTATTTTTTTAGTAGTGTCACTTCAAATAAAAGCATAAAATCTCCTACAAAGCTTTCTTGGTAAGCTTAGGTAGATACATAAGTTACATAATTTCGAAGACACAACAATATTATATTTAATAAAATTAAAATTAGGAGAGAATCATGTGTAGCTAAACACAAATATCAATGAAAAAATATTTTAAAATTTAAAATTCTTTCATATTCTAAATTTTATAACATTACATATTTAAATAAAAATGTAATATCATATTTAATGTTGTCAATTTACATATTATTATCATAATTTTACATTTTCCTTATTTGTTAAATAGAAGGGAAAAGTTGAAAAAATAATATTTTTATATATTTAATATTGATAGATAAGATAATATTATTTTATACTCTCGTTTTATTGCATTATTATTTTTATTACCTTTTTATTGCATTACAATGTGAGTTTTTTATTATTTAGGATTTATGGTTGAAATGTAGAACATCATTTGATTTAGGTGTAGGAATTAGATGAAATGATTGATTTTGTTTTAGAAGAGACGAGAAGAAGGGGCCTAGAGAGAGGAAAAGGCAAAACAAAAGAGAAAGAGGAAATAAAAGGGAAAATTGTGGCATGAAAATGAGAGGAGTAAGATAAAATGGATTTTGCGGTGTGAAAGTGGAGAAGAAGTGGTGGGAATAATTATGATGAGAATGATAGATTGGAAGATGGATTAATAGTTATAATCATGCCCAAGAATTTCACTTTCCTTTGTCATCTCTTTTTAAGGCATCATTAGAAAAAAGTTCGTTCATCTTCTCTTCGAAAAAAAAAAGTGTTAATATAAAAAAAAAATATTACTTTCCACATCCTCAATCAATCTTTCCGTACAACTTTTTTTTTTTTTTTTCCAATGCCAAACACTATTATAAATAAGAACAATATGTAAAAAGTGCAATACATGAATAAGAGGAGGGAGAATTTCATTCATGTACAAATTCCACCTATCAGTGTCTACGATGTAAAATGTGGTGATTATAATAATATCGTTAAAATTAAATATTATGTTTGAGATATTTTTCATTTTGAAACTCTTATCTATCATAATTGTCTTTAAAAAATATTTGGATGAGTTAAGAGAGAATGATGTATATAAACTAACATTGATCTGAATTCCTAAACAATGTGAGACCCATAAATCTATGGAAACAAATTTAAATCATTTATTACAACATTTAATAATAAATAAGAATATCCTAATTTTATATTCATTTCATAATATTATTTTTATATATTATTATATTGGAGATACTATTGGTTTTAAATTTTTAATTTATGATTTTATTTTTAAAAGATATTTTAGAATATTAAAAAGAATAATATATATATATATATATATATATATATATATATATATAAATTATCTTTTATCATTATTGTAAAATTTATAACAAGAATTATATTTTTATCATTTTTATTATGCTTGTCCATTATTTGCGTTATTGTGATCCAACAAGGCAAGAACGAAGAAACCAAGTGTGAACCGTGTGATCACTGTCTTGGTCTGGTCCTTTCTTTTAATTTCATTTTATACGTCAGGCCCATCATAAAATGTAAAACTTGGCCCATAACCTAATAATAACTTGGAAAAAGCTTTATTAAAACAATTGCTAAGTTAATAAAAATTATATCTTTGTTTGATTATTTTTTTAAGTTTCCAAAGGTTGAAAGATAATAAAAAAACATGTAATTTGAGAGATAATAAAAAAACATGTAATTTGAGGGTGTTTTAGTAGAAGGCAGACAAATGATAAATTTTTGTTATTTTTATTTCTTAATTTTATTTAAGAGAAAATTTAAATATAAATAGATGCAGAGGAAGTTGCAAGAAGAGTGAAAAATGATTGAAAATGTTTTATTGAGAATGTTTGAAAAAAAGAATGTAGACAATAACATTTTTTTATTATTTTTTTTATTAAATTTATTTGAGAGAAAATATTGATTAAATAATATATTGTTATAAAATTATAGATTATAGATATCATTATAATTTAAAATGTTTTAGAATTGAACAAACATTGGAAAAAAAACTTCATAATTATTAGAAGTTTATTTTTAGTATAGAAGTTTATTTTTAGCAATTATAAAAACCGTAAAAATTCAAGATAATTTATGACAAAAAGTTTTTTATTTATTTTATTTACTTTCATTTTTTTAACTTTATCTTTTGTGATTCTCTTACATTTTTTTCTACCATCTCTTTCTCTCATTGTCATCTCTTTCACTCTCACACTCATCCTTCAATCCAACACCACATAATCCTTTCTCAATTATCCATTCAGTTTACTTTTTCAATTTATTAGCGCGTAATTAGTTTAAGTTATTAAGTTTTTAGATTTTACTTTTTAATTTCACGTGTTTATGATTTTGATGGAAGATTACAAGAGTTTTAGGATTCTAACAAAATTATAAATTGTGATTGTATGTTTCTCAAGATCAACGTATGCTGATAAAGTTGATTTGTAACATTTGAACATTTTTCAATTCAATTTGGTAAAGTATTTTTTCTAACTTTATATTTTCTTTTTGATAAAACCTTTCTGACAAAGCCTTTCAGTCCATTACCGTTGAACAAGAGTGAGCAGAGATGGTGGTCTCACTGATTTTCAATTTCCTTCCCTAATCTTGTAAGAAATGCCACTGGAAAATCCTTCATTTAATAAAGTGATTGTTGAATGCATACCATGGGGATGGGGAATGGATAAAATGACTTTCTTATGCCAAGGGAGCCTAGAATTGCTTACTATAACACATAGGGAAAGCTACTCTTCATCGGAAATAGTAACAGCCGCAAAAAAAAGGCAAGATGTTGAAAGTTTTCAATAATCGTATGCTCATATGAGTAGGATTAATCTGTTTCAATCTTTAGTTTTTCTGCATATTCTGTATTTTGATGGATCCTTTTAATAGAGTGATTGTTGAATGCATATTTGATAATGCGTTGCAATGTTGTTTGATAAAATTTTGAAATTCTCTCCAAGTCCTTTCAAAGAGACATATAGACATGGTGACTGCACAAGCCTGATTATTCAAAAGTGAAGAACTGGAGGAGAAGGTTCCCTAAGAGATTATGGGCTTAAGATATGGGAAAAAAAGAATCAATAAGAAAGAGATTACTCCCTAAGAGAGATCAGGATTTGAACCTAAATGTCCTTCTTCCTATGGTTAGTTAGGCAGACGCCTTCTATTTTCTTTTATTTTATTAGACTACGGGACTTAGTCAAAGACTAGGAGAACGAATCAAGACACTCTCTTCTTCCTCTCCTTATAATTATAAAATGGGGAAGGGGATAATCACTAAAAAAAATTTAGAGCTCTTAGGGTCATAAGAGAGCTCATATTTACTTCCTTTCCTATATAAGCAACTGATTCTCTTATAGCCTCCCTTTATCTACGGGCTTAAGTTATAGGTCATATATCCTTGAGGACCAGATTCACCCTCCTTTTTTTTCTATCTTTCTTTTTAGGAGTATTAATGTCTCTTCTATACCTTAGTTTATGTATATTAGATATTGTTTGATATTGTTAACCACAATATCAAAAAATATCTTTTGTTTATTCTGTTTACTTTCAGTTACTTTTTTAGTTGTATCTCTCTTTATTATAAATAGATTACCCTATGTGTGGTTTATAGACAAAGGAGATTAATCTCAAACCTTATTTCCTGTATATTCAACATGGTATCAGAGCCAAAGCCTAACATCTTTCCGGTTATTGTCATGGGTCAAAAGTTGCCCTTTAGTTGGGTCAAAAGTACCATTTTCCTGGTCCGGCAGACTTCGTTGGAGGGGGCATGTTGGAAGTCTCATATCATTTGGTATGGTTTAAATACATGTTAGGCTACTTCACATATTTCCAATTGGTTTTATGTTGAAATCTTAACATGGTATCTAGAGCTTAAGGTTATTTTAAAATTTTTTCGCCTTTGTCCACTACTGGAGCCGCCACTGTCGCCGCTACTAGTTAAACTGATCTTCTACATCAAAAAAGAGTTATTTTTGTTACTGGATATTATTTAGTAGTGTGAAAGTGCATGTCTAAGAAGGTTTTAACAA